AGGCTGTAAATCTTTACGGGAGTAGAAAGCCTCATCTTTCTCCTGCGGAACAGCTGGTAGTTTCGAACTGCTGACCGTAAGGTTTACAACCCGATTTGTAACCACTACGCTACCAGAGCTCCTCTGTGATAATATAAATATGATATCTTACTATATAATATATAGAGATACATAGGACCTCTCTCTATTGATAGATATAAGGGAGCTCCAAAAAAAACATGGAAAATGAGATGAAAAGATACACAATTTTTTGCATGAACTTTTTGAAGCCCTTTGTATAGAAAGAGAGACAGAGAGGCAGTTTCTGGGAGGTGTAAATGGTTTATGTGCTCAGCTGCCAACCAAAAGGATGGAAGTCTGTGTCTACCAGAGGCAGTGCTGAAGAAAAGTGCTTCCAGAAACTTAGTTCTGAAGTCCCGATGGAGCACAATTCTACTCGATACATAGGGGCTGCCAATAAGTAGAGTTCATTTGACTGTAACTGCTTTTGTAGACATGCTATTGTTGTCAGTTTTGACTTATAGCAACCCCATGTGACAGAGTCGAGGGCCTCACAGGATTTTCTAGGTTGTAATTTTCACCGGAGCAGATCACCAGGTTTTTCTTCTGTGGGGCTACCCTGAGTGGATTTGAACCACTAACCTTTTTGGTAATCAAGTGGTCAACCATTTCATCATCAGGACACAAAACACACACTCACACACACACACACACACACACACACACAGGGGACTTCAAAAATTTGTGGGAAAACTCCATTCTCTTTCAATTCCATTTTTCCATGAACGTTTGGAAGCTCCCTTGTACATGACTGATATTAGTTTAAACATCTCATGCACAAGGAAATTTCTATACATCACTCTAGAAACTTCCTTGAGTGTGAGCTGTTTAAGCAACTTCAACCACGTCTTGAAGAATTTTACACTGGAAACTGCCTAAAAAACCAATTCATTTGAACACAATTAGGTAATGAAAGTAATAAAGTAACTTGAAAATAGTCCTCTATTATTTTATTTATATCAAACTAAAGCACCATTCTGAGAATGAAGAAAACAGTGGCCGTTACTCAATCCTTTGTAGACACTGGGATCAGCAAGAGACAAGGTTAAAATTAATGTGGTTAGATGTGCCTTGTTCAAGCCTTAAAAAGTGGGAGGGCACTGCTGAGGGTTAGGGAGCTGTCTAAAATGAAACTTTCCAGTTTCCTTCTCAACACACATACAAAGTTTTAAAAAAGAAGCCAAGAGGCCAAACCTTGGGAGGTTCAAAAATCACTCACCAAGCAGTCCAGCTACTTTCAATAATTTATCACCGATCTTAAAGCAAACATCTAAAGGAACACCAACTAGCATTTATATGCAACTCCTCATTGCCTGATGACTAATTTGTAGAGGAATGAAGTCTTCACAAGGGAAGCCAAAGGAATCCAAGGTGACTTTGATACCATGCCACAAAGGATATGAAGAGGAAGTCGGCAGAATCTGCACATAGCTTAAGTCCATTAAGAGTTCTAATAAAAGCCTGATGGAATTTCCCCTTTAGAGTCAATTTTTTGAAAAAAATGTCAGAAGTGGGCAAAATTTAGACAAGCCAGGCAAAACTTTTGATTTGTCCTTGTCTTTTTTGTTGTAGTTGTTAAAATGAATCTTATCCACTGTAGGATTTATGTCAATTAAAATGGCTTCATATTTTAAAAAAGCAACATTACCATGGGAAATTGAGCCCATCCCATTTTATGTGCTGTTGTTACCGGGCTACAGCTTCCTGCATTGTCAGACACAACAGGCTCTCACAGTCTCTTTCAAGCAAATTGCCATTTTCTGCAAAGTGACTGATTTAACTTGAAGAATGTAATTTGATACAATTTTTAGTATCATATTATCGCCATGGTTACGTGGAGCGTAAGCGCCTCTCTTTACAAACTTTTGGTGCTGAAGACAACTATAGAAACACTAGAAGCTATTCAAATTCTTGCAAATTCTATGAACAACTGGTACAATACTTTTCCCTCCTGAATCCTGACATCTCTGTGTTCTCAACTGAGAAAGCAGTTTTCACACTACTTATTTTTGGCTACTTAAAAAACCCTACCACATGTCTCCATATAAATTCAGAGATAAAGATTTACGTTTATATTAGCATTTCAGCTGGGTGAATTTTTTGTTTGCTTCTGTAATCATCTCAAATTAATGGATTTGCTGGAACCTTATGGAGCAGAGGGGTTGCCCAAGTCTAAGAAATCTTTGAATATATTTTTCCATGAAGGATTTTCTTTAAGAAGGTGATTTGAATTTTATTTTAAAACTTTTTATTGTGATTTGGGTAAAAGTTTATAGAACGAATTGGCTTTCCACTCAATGATTCCCAACATTTAAAATTTATTTTTAAGAGCCCTTATCTTGTACAAATGTATGGTAAGATACTTATAAATGAAAAGGTAACTGGGACTTCTTCAAATATGGGAATGGATGGCGTAAGTAAATGTAAGATGGGCCAAAAATGTATAATGCTATGAGAGGGACACAAAGGGCTAGACATGGACTGCACTGTGCTCCCCCAAAATATATGTGCCTGCTGCAAGCCACAAGGTCAGCAGTTTGAATCCACTAGCCGCTTTTTTCTCCAGTAAAGGTTTACAGCTTCAAAAATCCTATTCAGGGTTGCATTGAGTCAAAAATGACAGCACAGAACAACAGCAAAATATGTGACTTGTCTGGGCTGTGACTCTCAGTGGTTTGGCAGTTCTGTGATGATGTAATGTGGCAGTTCTGTGATAATGCCCCATGATGTGATCATATGTGATAAAACAGTAAGAGGATTAATGATGGGATGGAACACCCTTGATCCCATCTCAGCCCTGATCTAATGTAAGGGGAGTTTCTTTGGGGTATGTATGTAACACCTTTTGTCTCATAATAGATAAAAGGGGAGAGAAGTTAGCAGAGATCATAAGGACCCATGACCATCAAGAAAGATGAGCCAGAAGTAGTGTGTGTTCTTTGGACCTGGGCTCCCTGCATCGTGAAACTCCTAGATCCAGGGGAAGACTGATGCTGAGACACATGGAGATCTCCAAGGAATGCTGGGCCTACACATGCTGAAAGGAGACAGGACTTCTCCCCAGAGCCAACAGAGTGAGAAAGCCTTGCCCTAGAAGCCAGCATTCTGAATTTGGATTTCTAGCTTTCTAAACTGTTGTTGTTATGTGCCGTCGAGTCGGTTCCAACCTATAGCGACCCTGTACAGGGTTTCCGAGGGTGTAAATCTTTACGGGAGTAGAAAGCCTCATCTTTCTCCCACGGAACAGCTGGTAGTTTCGAACCGCTGACCTTAAGGTTAGCAGCCTGATTTGTGCCACTACGCTTCCAGAGCTCCTTACTGTAAGAGAGTAAATTTCTGTTTGGTAAATGCATCTACTTGTGGTATTTCTGTAGCAGCAATAGAGAACTAAGACAGGATTCTTTGGTCTCTTTTGTAGCAATATTCTTGGTGATGTATATTTCACCTATAAGACTATTCATTGATTTGTGTTAGGACTTCTATTTTTAAAAATTACTTTCTATCCGGAGCGATGGATAACCTGATCTTCTTACCATCCTGGAAAGCCAAGTTCATCTATTACAGTGTTTGGAAATACAGAACAAAAACCAACTGAACAAAAAAACACGACAAAACCTGTCTTTTCACAATCTTTGAAATTTACATGACAAGACGTAACCAAATATTAATATCAATGAAATAGAATTTAGTTCAGAAATACAAGTTTACTGTTTCTTTAAAAAGCTAGAGTCAAAAACATAGTCAACTAAAATTGAAAGGTAATTGGCAAGTATACTTCAAATTAGTTAAAAAAAAATTATGCTAAGCATTCAGAAAGATTTGTACTACTCAGTATAATAATTAGTCGATTCTCTTACCTTGTGATCATATGGGTTGTAAGAATGAAATACTCGAGAAAGGTCTTTCGTTCTTTGCTTTTTCTGTGAAGGGAAAAAAGAAGAAAAAAAATTTGTGTTGACAGGCGACAAACATATACAGGTGTGTGTGCATTAAAAATACTGCTTTTTCAGAGACTGCTCTTAAAACTAAGGGCAACAGTGTCAATCTGCGACACATGGAAGCAATTAGAAACCAAAGTCATTTGATGGTTATGTGGGTTATTGACACCAAGCAGTCAGTCAACCTCTTCCTGAAATGTTTCATAATTAAGATACTACCATCATAGAAAACCCTAGTTTAAAATGCGGAACTCAGAGGCTAAAACAAAGAAAACACTGTGAAAAGAAAAGAAAACAAAACACTCAGGGCACCTTCATTGTAACACCAACTGCTGTTGCTCTGAATTGGGTACAGACATGCATTCATTAAACAAGGCACCTCCTTCAGGTCCAGGTTACAGCTGGAGTCTGTCTGCTTGAGTCTGCAAATTCGAAGACTTCTGTGTTTTGTCCTGGTGTGGTGCAACACGATAATGTGCTGGACTGTAAGGTTGGTTTGAACCCAAAGGTTGGTGGTTCAAACCTACCAGCCCCTCCTCGGAAACCCTATACAGGGTCCCTCTGAGTAAGAACTGACTCAACAGCACTTAACAACAACATAGTCCTAGGGCCTAGCACTGTGTCTCACATACAGCTGTTGTTGTTGTTAAAGTGCTGTCGAGTCAGTTCCAAAACATAGCAACCCTGTATAGGGTTTCTGAGGTTTTTAAAATCTTTGCCAGAGACAAAGTCTCATTTTTCTCCCACAGAGCATCTGGTGGGCTCGAACCATGGACCTGTGGTTCACAGTCCAGTGCTTATCGTAGGGAGCTACTGTGTTCCCAACATACAGTAGTCACTCAATAAAACTTTTTTGAATTAATTAATGTATCCAAGGTAGGCATAAGCTTCTAACTATTAATGATGGCACATGAAACACATATATGTAGTTATGAAGAGAGAAGTCTCTTCACTTCTAATGATATGTTCTTCTCAAGTTGAAAACTTGCAATCAAAATGACTCAAGTCCCCACACCACTCCCAGTATCTATGATGAGTGAGGAAGTGTGGGATTCCATTAGAGTTGACTATAAGAAGTAGCTTGGTGCTTGGTTTCTCATCCACTATGATCTGCCTACTCCCCATAATCACTAGGAGCATATTTATATATGGTTTCAGATATTCTATGCATATATGAGGAGACCAGAAAGTCTGTGGGAAAGTTTCATTATCTTTTAATTCCACTTTTCCACAAACTTTTTGAAACCCCCTCAATGTCAAGAAAACAAAAATCCTCACCACTACACCAATAAACAACATTCTTATCAATGGAGAAAAGATTGAAGTTGTCAAGGCCTTCATTCTTCTTGGATCAACTATCAACACTCATGGAAGCAGCAGTCAAGAGATCAGACAATGTATTGCATTGGGCAAATCTGCTGCACAGGAACTTTTTAAAGTATTGAAGTGCAGAGATGTCAGCTTGAGGACTAAGGTGTGCCTCACCCAAGCTATGGTATATTCAATATCCTCATTTGGATGGGAAAGCTGGACAGTGAATAAGGAAGATCGTAGAAGAATTGATGCCTTTGAGTTGTGGTGTTGGAGAATACTAAAAGTGCCATGGACTGCCAAAAGAACCAATAGATCTGTTTCGGAAGAGGTGCAGCCAAAGTGCTCCTTGGAGGCCAGGATGGCTAAGCTTTGTCTCTCATACTTTGGACATATTGTCAGGAGAGAACAGTCGCTGGAGAATGATGTCATGCTGGGTAAGGTGGAGGGTCAGAGAAAAAGAGGAAGACCCCCAACGAGGTGGGATGGCTAAGTGGTATCATTGATGGCATCAAGTGGCAGCAGTAGTGAGGTTGGCCCAGGATTGGACATTGTTTCGTTCTGCTGTAAATGGGGTCGCTATGAGTCGGTTCCGACTCGATGGCACCTGACAACAACAACATGTGTGTGTATGTTGTTGATAGAGTCAGTTCTGACTCATAGTGATCCTTAACAGAGTTCCAAAGAACAGCTGGTATGTTTGAACCACCAACCTTTCGGTTAGCAGTCCAGTGCTTATCCTATTGTGCCACACCAGGACTCCACAGTTGTTATTTATTTTCAAAGAGAGGGGATCCTTCTCTATATATGGCTTTGAATTTTAATTTTTTTCCATTTTAAATTATGCAACTACAATCGCTGGATCAAATAGTCTACATGTTTGTTATTTGGATATTGCTGTTTCCAGTTGCCTTTGAGTCAGCGCTGACTCATGGAGAACCAATGCATAAGAGAAAGAAACCCTGCCTGGCTCTGGGCCATCTTCATGATTACTGGTGTGTGTGAATCCTATTATCTAGATATCAAACCACTGCCATCAAGTCGATTCTAAGTCACAGTGATCCCCTATAGGACAGAGTAGAACTGTGCTGCCTCATTCTCTGGCAGAGTACCTGGTGGGTTTGAACAGCTGACTATGCAGTTAGCAGCCTTACTGTACTACCAAGCCTCCTTATCTTGATAGATACCGCTTCATGATCCCATCTCCACAAACACTACCAACTCACCCTCTCAACAAAGACAGAATCAGAAAAGGAATCCAGCTTCTTAGAGAAAATTTTTAAGAATATCCCTCATTAGAACATTTCTTACAGGACAAACATTTTTAAAATAGAAAGTGAACATTTCCTCAGCTTCAGATTATAGATAAATTCTAACATGTCACAGCGCACTGACACATCTCAAAACTCTGGCCTGTAAGTGGCCTGGCCTGCTTCTCCTTACACTGGCCCAGTCTAGCTTCCGGTTCTACTTTGATCTTGATATTCTAATGACCAGTTCTCTAAGCTTTTTCTCTCCTAAATTAACTTACTTGGTATCCATGCTTCCTTGGGAAGTATTTGCTGTCTGTGCTATCATACCGCCCTAGTGCCAGAGATCTAAGCAGATCCCCTTGACCATATATTCCTATATGGTTCTGTTCCGACTGGCTAAGTAGTCAGAGCTGGTATTTAAATTATTACTGTGTGCCAGTGAGTTGGCTCTGACTCACAGTGACCCTGTAGGACAGAGGAGAACCACACCATATGGTTTCCTAGGCTGTCATCTCTTAGAGAACAGATTTCCAGGTCTTTTCTCCCACAGAGCCATTGGTAGATTCGAACTGCTGATCTTTCTGTTAAAAGTCAAGTGCTTACTTATTGCACCACTAAGGGATCCTTGATATTTAAGTAGGACTTTGTATGAAGTCATTTGTACAAACACATAGTTCCCCCTTAGATCAGTTGCCCCATTTCAGAACTATTTTTGAATGCACAATTCCAAGTTGTTGTTGTTGTTAATGTCATCAAGTGGTGGTATCCTTTAAATCCTTCCGCCTTGTTTCCACAGACTGAAATCCATTCAATATCATCCCTTCCTGAGCTCAGCCCAAATTCCCACCTCTGAGTCGTGCTTCTGAACCTCTAACTCTAAAGTAATTTAACACTCCTTTTCCCCCAGAGAGCAGACAATGCATCCGTAAGATGATTGGAAACAGCTCCCTTGGCTAATGAAATGTTAACTTTGCAAGCCTTGGGATCTGTTTCAAATAGGCCCCTTACCCACCAAAGTTTTCATGAGCTCATCATTTTCTCCTTCCTTTTCATACACCCACTTAGTTGATGTAACAGTTCTTGGCTTATACTTCAATCAAAGAGAAATGACGGATACTGATACTTCCTTTCGTAGGAGACTTAATATAAAACAATGGGATTTTTTTTTTTTTTTTCTGAAAGGAAATTGTGCTAGAGAAGATAACATAGGTAACAGGTCAGCAGTTAATTTAGGTGGTTTCCCAAAGATTGATCAATCCCAGAACTGGATTGAGTTAGCAAGTGGATAAGAAATATTCAGAAGTGATTTTGCCTGACCTTTTTATGTGGGTTGTGATGTCCTATTTCTATTTTGAGAGCTAAAACTGATAATCTGCCTTTTATTAAGTTCTTGTTGTTGTTGTTAAGTGCCATCGAGTTGATTCTGACCCATAGTGACCCTGTATAGGGTTGTGGAGGAGCAGCTGGTGAGCTTGAACCACCGACCTTTCAGTTCAAGCAGGTTTGCAGTCTGACACATTAACCCACAGTGCCACACAGGACTCAAATCGGTTCTAACTCAGAGTGACCTTATGCACAACAGAAGGAAACACTGCTGGGTCCTCCACCATCCTCCAAGATTGTTATGTTTGAACACATTGTTGTGGCCATTGTTACTATTGTTGTTGTTAAGTGCTGTTGAGTCAGTTCTGACTCATAAGGGATCCTGTATAGAGTTTCCAAAAAGTGACTGGTGGGTTTGAACTGCCAACCTTGTGGTTAGCAGTCCAGTGGTTATCCTAAAGCACACCAGGACTCCATTATTATTATGGTGGAGGTATACCATGGAGTCGGTTCTGACTCATAACGATGCTGTATAGGGTTTCCGAGGTTATAAATCTTTACGGGAGCAGAAAGCCTCATCTTTCTGCCACTGAATGGCTGGCTGGCAATTCTGAATTGCTGACCTTGCAGTTAGCAGCTCGACTCATATGAGCTACCTAATTCATGATGGGAAAGAAGTGGGAATATAAATATCAAGAAAAGAACACTATTTATTTAGATTATCCCCCAAAGAAGCCAGGAAACAATGGCCTTTATCCGATGAAAACTGTACTATACAGAGAGATACAGTGAAGTCTTGGCTCTGCACATATTAGCCCAGTTAACTTAAAACTATTGCACTTCTTCCTGCATGGTCAGAATCACAAAACTCCACATGGTATCTCATGGGATCAATAAGGTTGGCAAATTATGGCTCACAGGCCAAAGCTAGCCCACAGCCTGTTTTTGTAAATAAAGTTTTATTGAAACACAGTCACACCCATTCGTTAGTTTATCCTCTAGGATAAACAATAGCAGAGTTGAATAGCTCGTTGAGACAGATTTTTTATTTTTTTTTAACTTCTCATTGTGAATTGAGTGAAGGTTTACAGATCA